CCCACTGTCAGCCCCGAGACCCACGTCTCCCCATCCCGGCTCAGATGGCTGCACCGCCGGTCCCAGCAGCCAGGGCTCCAGGGCCTGAGCTGTGACAGAAATGGCAAACGCAGGGAACACAAAATACACACGGTACAAATGGCATCGCGGGCCCATCTCGGGGTCCACAGGACCTGTCAGAGGGGCAGCACATCCCCAGGCCCCACCTGTCACCTCTCACGACACAAAGGCTGATGCAGCACGTGTCTCAGCTCAGATCCCACAGGTGCTGTTTCCAGGGTAATACAACAATGCCAGTTGTGCACAATTAATGTTAATGTTCACAACCAGCCTTACAAACACTGATAAACTCAGGCTAATGACCTCACAGGGGGAGAGAAAACTTAGCATCTTGGCTACAAGCAGCTTCCTGGAGGTCTCAGCCACGCTCCGGAGCACCGTTTTGAGCGCCCTGGGCTGCACGGCAGCTCCACACTCGTGCGAGCGAGGCCTGGCACCATGGGCTCCAGTCTTAGCTGATGCCAACACCGTGCTGTGCACCACGGACATCCTCAAGGTGTGCCCATGGCACCAGTGCTATCACACAGTACCTAGCACACAGAAAGGGTGTAGCAGTGCTCTGTCCTGTTTCCAACACGCAGGACTTTTTTTCTGCTGCAACTGCTGCCCACCTAAGCCATGATGACTGCAGCAAACATCCTGCAGGGGCAGGTTTCCCACCCCACGCTTTGCACAGCCCTGGCTGTGCCCTCCTCAAGCTCAGCTCCTGACAGTTGTACCTACCTGTAAGAAGCAGGTCCCAACAGGAGTGCTCTCCTTCAGGGACACATTGTAGAAATTACTCCTGAACACCGGCTCATTGTCGTTGACGTCCTGCAGGGCCACACGCACCACAGCTGAAGAAGAGAGGGCAGGGGTTCCTCTGTCTGTGGCCAGCACAGTCAGCTGAGGCTGAGGATCCTTCTCATAATCCAGTGGGGCAGCGGTGGTGATGATACCTGTGGCAGGGTCAATGGCAAACCAGCTGGAGTGGGTGTCACGGCCATGCACGATACTGTACTGTACCTCCCCATTGGGACCCTGGTCCTTGTCACGAGCTGTCACCTGCAGGACAAAGCTGCCTGGGTACACAACCTCAGGGATGCTTTGCTTGTACTCTTGCTGGTCAAAGAGTGGAGGGTTGTCATTGATGTCCATCACTTGCAGCACAAAGGCTGATTCTGCCCGGAGTGGGGGTGTTCCTGAGTCAGTAGCTGTCACCCGCAAATCATAGGAATCTCTTTCTTCCCGATCCAGAAGCTGGTCCACACAAATGAGGTAGATGATGTTGTCCTTGGTAGTGAGGGCAAACTTGCCATCCCCTCCCTCCAGTGTGACATTGACATTGGAGTACTCGCCATAGTCTGGGTCAGAAACAGAGATGCGTGCCACATACTGGCCGGGCTGGGCTCCCTCAGAGATCTGAGGGGAGCCGTCTTCACTTAGGAAGATGATAGTCATGGTGGGCTGGTTGTCATTGTAGTCACGCACATGAATAGTGACAAAGGCTGTGGTGATCTCAGGATGGACAGCCTTATCCCTTGCCTGCACCACCAGCTCATGCACCTTTCTTACTTCATAGTCCAGACCTTTGTTGAGCTTGATGACTCCAGTCCGGGAGTCAATGGTGAAGTACTGGTCAGGATCGCTCTGCCGCCGGTTGATCTCATAAATCACATCCCCATTGTCACCTTCATCTGCATCAGAGGCAAAGACCTGGAGGATGCTGCTGCCAGGTTTCAAATTCTCTGAGATGAGAGTATGATAGCGGCTCTGGTTGAAGCTAGGAGCATTGTCATTGATGTCCTGGATAGACACATCCAGCGTCATCTGAGTACTCCGGGGAGGAGAGCCACCATCGTAGGCTTCCAACAGCAGTGAATATGATGAACGGTTCTCCCGATCCAAGATGTTGCTTACCACCAGGTCCAAATACAGGACCCCATTGGGTCCTCGACGTGTTTCCAGGCGGAAGGCCTGCCCCACATTCTCTCCCTTAATCACATAGCCTTGCGTATTGAGTAGGCCACTGTCAGCATCAAAGGCTGGGTCCAAGGGAAATCTGCTGCCAATGGGTGTGTGCTCTGGGATCTGGAAGGTGCTGTGTTGTTTGGGAAAGGCTGGAGCATGGTCATTGATGTCATTCACTTGGATGTTCACTTCTACTGTGATGCCCTCTGGGGTAACAGCAATGAAGCTGTAGTGGTCCCGAGTCTCTCGGTCCAGGACGCGAGCTGTTTTGATGATACCGGTGTTCTCATCTATCCCCAAGTCAGTGGTAACACCGCTGCCCTCCTGTGCTGAGATGAAATACATGTAGGCACTAGTTCCAGGGGGCAGGCCAGCACTGATGTCCCCAATGATGGTGCCAGCTGGCTGCTCCTCATCTATTTGTAGATCCAGGGTGCCCAGGACAGCAGAGCCCTTCCCTGCTCTCAGGCCTCCAAGAATTAGCAGCTCCAGCAGAAGCATGGCTGACCCTTTCATCTGCTCCATTGCTAGTGACTTGCAGAGCAGAGGGTGGCTTGATCTCCTTTGCAGAGTGTGCTTTAATCCTGCATGGAATGCAGACCAGAGGATGCTGGTTAAGAGGAAGCAGCAAAGGAAGGACAGAAAAAAAACCACGGAGACAGAAGGCCTGCCATGTACCTGCTACCTGAGTGCTCTGTATCACCTATCCCTCACCAGGAGCAAAGGTGAAAATGTGTCAGAGCAGAGGGTGCCCAGAACAAAGGGCTGGGACAGCACCTGAAGTCAGCCAAGCAGGTCACACCTGACAGTGTGCTGAGGGTAGCAGCCAGTACCCCATCGCACAGGCTGTCTCCTACAAAGCCAAGCATTCTTCCCAACCACCCGCCCTCCTAGCATCACTGGAGCCAGCTGCCCTGGAGCAGAGCTGCCTGTGCCTTAACAGCCGAATGCTTCCTGCGAGGCTGAGAGGCTGTCTGCAAGACAACAAGAGATTTTTGGACAAACAGCAGCCTAGCACCTCTCCACCCTGAAAAAAGTTTGTCTCAAATTGGGAAAGAGCTCCACAAGTGACTGTGTGGAGATCCCCCCATCCCCAGCAGCAATGCCTTTCAGGACCACGGGGATATAGGTGCCAAAAAAACCCATGAAGTGAAAATCTGGTGTCCCCGGGAGGGAGCAGCAGAACTGGAGCAGGCTTACATCCAGTGAACAATAAACCAGAAAGGCTGCGTTGCAAAGGATGTACCCACAGCTGGGAACGCCCAGGACAACGGCCCATTATCTGGGCAGGCACGGAGAGCTGTGGATGCCCCAAGCTGGTACCATGGAGGGTGGCGGCAGTGCAGCAAGAACGCAGCAGCTCCCTCTGAACTGCCAGCTGCTCCGGCTCCTTCCCAGTCCCACACCCTCCACGGCTCGCTCTCCTCCTTTGTCTCCTTCTCGCTGCTCCTGGCTCGCTCCGGCTCCTTCACTCCATTTCCCCCTGCCGTAGCTTCATTTCACTGCAGCGCTGGGGGAGGGACGGGCGGGGAGGAGCAGCGCCCTGCAGCAGCCCCACCGCTGGACTCGCTGGACAGGCTGGCTCCGGCTGCCAGCCCCCCCCGGCTCTGCCCGCCCTCCCTGGGACAGCCAGAGAAACTCAGCAGCCCGGGAGCTGGTGAAGAACAGCAGCCCCGGTGCTGCTCAGCCCCCGGCAAACGAGGCCGAGTGGTCTGCAGGGATGGCGGCAGCATGAGCTCACACTTGGACTCTCTTGAAAGCATTTGCTGCTGGTCCCACAACCACACTCAGGAGCGGCTCATGTCAGACACAGGACGGCAGGAACCTCCCTGTCTTGGGGGGTGGAGGTGGCTGACATTGCCTAGTTTGGGGACTAAGAGTGTCAGCCCTTGAGCTAAAGAACCCTACAGCAGCGTTAACCCTTTCCAGGGGACAGGGATGATTATTTCTGGGTCCTCTTTCCCACCTTGGGTGAGCTGTTTAGACTGTTTTCCCTGTGGAAATCCTGGATTAGTGACAGAAAGAAAAATACGAAGAAGTGTTTTCTACATACAAAGAAGTGTTTGTTTACTTCAGTGGGCAGGCAGTGTCTGAGGTCTATGGCAAGTAAATCCACACACTCTTCTGGCACCTAGCAAGTGTGAATCCTCATTCTCTCTCAGCAGCAGAAGTTGAAAGAAGTTACTTTTATCCCTGTGCTGCTAGCTAGGGATCTGCACTAACTCAGTGGTCCTAGACAGGTCTCTCTCTCTTCTCTGTTAGAGCAAGTTAAATTTCCTCAGCTGGAGGGGTAACCGCCTGCATCCAGAACATGCAGTGCTGGGGGACTGGGGTTTGAGTTTGCTTCCGTGGTGAAACTGCACCATCCTAACTGTGACCCAGCTGCTCGGGTCATGGGAAGGCACAGGGCAGAGGGCTTAAAGCCTTGGCAGGAGGTTAGACAAAAACTAAATAAAAAGGAGAATAGAAAAACAGGTAGAGGGACAAGGATCCCTAGGGCAATCTCAGGATGAAGCTGAAAGGTTTTGGGTAGTGCCTGGAACGGAACAGGGCACAGATATGGGGAAAAAAAACACCTGGCTTGATTAGTGATGTGGCTCTTGAGAATCAGAAGGGAGTGTAACAAGGCTTCGTGGGCTGCTGGCAGGGAGGAGAGAGAGAAACTTGAAAAGCGAATCTGGCGGTGTGAAGAACAGTTGAGAGCAATGGGGCAACCAGGGAAAAGGAATTAGGGTCCTTGGGGTGGGGAACTGGTGAAGAAAGACTGTGTAAACTCCCTTTCCATCCTCCCTGGATACAAGTCGGTAGTTTCAGAGCCCAGCTACCTCTTGGGTGAGAGATGCAACTGCCAGGCTTGCCAGATTGCACCAGTCCAGGATGGGGAGAAGGCCATCCATGGTAATAGCAGTGCTCTGTTCTTGTGAAGTTTGCAGGCTTGGGTCATAGAGGAAGACAGCAGTGACCTCAGTGGATGCAGAGTCACCAAATCTGAACAGCTGCTTCCAATTAGCAGATAGCTCAGTGCTAGGGGATGGCTTAACTGGTCCAGGCCCAGCCTGTGTAATGTGAGCCAGACTGCCCTGCTCCCTCTCTGTCCCTCCCACCATCGGGCACTGAGTTGCAGAGTAAAAAATGGCAGCAGAAGCCTCTGAAGAAAACTGCCAGCATGCGGATCTGTCCAGAGAGGCATTTGGGGTCCAGAGCCATAGTACGGAGGTTGACAGGAAAGGCAGCTAAAATGGAGTGAGCTGCATTTCCAAGCCCAGGGCTGATAGGCCCAGGCACCAGGAGAGCCCAGCCTACACTGAGCAGATGTCATATTTAGAAAAAAAAAGATACAAAATTATAGAGGGACCACTGCATGCATCGCTCCCTGCCCGCCTGCCAGTGGCACCTAGCATCTCGTGTCAGCCATGAGGAAGACAAAGCAGGCCCACACTGGCCCCAGCAGAGAAGCTGGAAAAATGGCACCCACTGTGCATGCCACAAACAGATGTCAGAGTGCTTGCTGTGCAAAAGCTCCATCAAAGCTGCAGATGTTGCTGATGCCATACCCGAAGTCTCACATGAGAGGCCATGACTCACGTAATGATGTTTTTGAGACTTCAGTCCAGATGAGGAAGGATTCAGAAGCCCGTTTAATCATTGCTGAGCACCCGTCACTGACCTGGAATATGCTTTTCTCTTCTACATTCACACAGATCTCTCTCTCAAGAGTTTCCAATTCTCTGCCCTCGGAACCAGACAGCCCAGGCTGGCCTGCAGTGCAGCCTGAGGCTAACAACTCACTTTCAACCTCTGTTTAGTC